CGGGTCAGACATCCTTCCCCCTTGTATTTTCGTTACATCACAATCTTTCCAAATACCTTTCGTGACCACGCATTCTTTCAGCTGGAAAATACTTTGGAATTCGTGATTTCATAATCGTAAGTAGAGAAATAAATGTAAATACTTCCTACATCACTTTGTACATATACGTAGCTACTAACTACACATTGCTGCAATTTCAAGATATTAACTCAAAATAATTATGATCTCGCTTTGTCAATGTTACGAAAAACAGCGTGCAAAAAAGTTCCATGTTCCATGTACACACCCATTCGCGCGCGCACGCTCGTTACATCTGTTTAAATGACCACGCATGTGTTCTCGATTCGATTTTTGTTCGTTAGTTTACATAGTACGTATACATAATTTAATAATAATGTATATTTATTGATATATCTAAAAGATCAATATTATTTAAAGACAAATGCAAATTTAAATGAAGAAAAGTGATACTGGTATCGAAAGGTATCCATCATATTGAAAGAAATGTCGTTAATGTCACCTTCAATATTGCTTTCATTCTGGTTTGAATTATTTACATTTAAATTAGCATCCATTTAAATTTTTACATGAAACACCTTACAGTCTTTCTGTATCATTAGTGAGCATCTAGCAGCCAAGTACTATTTTAGATGAAAGTCAGGAGTGAAGAATGCCTTAACGATCACGGCTAAATCGACATTTGGCATTCAGGAATTAAAAATCTGTTTCTGTGTTTCGTTTAGGATGTCTATATCTATTAGAGAAATAAAATGCGCAAATTCGAGTTGACCAGAAATTAGCATATGATATGTCATTCAATGGGCTGCAGTGGGTTAATAGCAGCATGCGGAAAGAAACTTTCACGTAGAGAATCAAACATTTATAGTCGGTTGAACAACATATAATGCTTCAAATACAGTTCAGCTATCGCCTGAATAAACCTTTAGAGAGGAGACCTATACACTGTGAAAATGGTGTTACTCACTCAACAACATAGCATTAACTCTAGAATACTAGTCATGAGTAAAATTTACTTATTCGCGTGTATTTATTTTACATATACATTGTATAGAGAAAGTTGTACTATGCTGCGAAAAATCTTCCAGATTATTTTTTTTTTTTTTTAGATAGCTCTGGTGTGCCGAGACACTACTATCCATTTTTGATACCACCTCTTATTAGTGCAATATTTACTCTTCGGGCGTATATAAGCACTTCATCTTATTGTTCATAGAGTTGCGTGTTGGGATCCATACAGAAAGGCGCACCGGAAAAATCTAGATAGAATACAGAGAAAAGCGAATAAGTTTACCTATAGAAGTAACGCAACAAAAAAGTCATGGGAACCTCTAGAAACGAGAAGAACAAAGGAGAGGCTCTTTATAAATCGTACGTAGGTCAACCAGCTTGGAAGGAAATTCAGATTAGACTAGAAAAACCAAATTATTTCGGCCGAAGCGATCACACCCACAAAATTCGAGCAAGGTAACAAAATTCAGATCTTGGGAAGTTTTCATTTTGTAACAGAACAGGTAGAGATTGGCAAAGTTTACCTGCAGCAGTTTTCAAAGCTTTTCCTCTCAGTGTCCGAAGTTTTAGAAACAAATTAGAACAAGATGACCGTGGGAATTTAGCCCAGAGGCTTCATTTAAGCTTGAGGATCTTTTACATGCAGTAAATCTACAAACATGAACAGTCAGTTTTACTTCCCCTCTGAAGGAAGGCGTACGAATGATTTTTCTCGCCCAAAAAAATCCACGGCTTGGACCGGATTTGAAGGTTTGAACCCGCAAACTTGGGTATACCTTCGCCGCCACTACACTTCTCCCCGCAGCACGTCACCCACAGTTTTTAACTGTTTTTGGCGTAAAATAATAAAATAAAAAGAAATAAAGTTGCAGTGAGGGCATCGTTGCCGTGCCGCAGTCCGCTGGCTGCTCTGAGGCCTGCGACAGCGATCGCTCCGGGAGCGCGACCATCTGCACCGGCGCCCGCGCCTGCGCATTCGCCGGGGGCGCTTGGGAGGGGGGCGGGTTCCGGCCAAACATTTGCCTGTCGCCGGTGATCGCTCGCAGGCTTCCGCCTGAAAGCGGCGCGCGGCGGCACGGTGCTGGGAAGAGTCGGCTGCAACTAAGGGTGAAATATCGCGGCGCTCGCTTTCGTTGGAATTTTCTATTGATTGAAAGCACTCGAGGTTTTAGTTTAGGAAGCTGTTTCGGCTTTACATTTACTTTTTTCTTATAATAATAATTTTCTTTCTAATAATAATATTATTATTATTAATAATAATAATAATAATAATAATAATAATATCTTGTACAAATTTCAACCATTTCATTTAATATTTTTGTCGCATATATGATTCGGACTGATTGAAATGAACACAGAATCTTTCATTACTTATTCTGTCTCTTCTTTAAATGAATTTAAAATAATGACATCTTGCACATTTAGCGACTGGCAAGATCGGCTGAACTGACTTGTAGTGATATCCGCATTTTATTTTGTGTTTGGATTGTTTCGGACTAATATTGAACGAGAATGACTTCTGTCATATAAAAATCTCTGTTGAGTATTGAATACACCTGAAAATTACAGTACGGATCAGTTCCTTCATAGATGTCCGTGAGCGGTGCTTGGACAATTCAAAGAAAGTTTCATTGATTGATCGTCAGTCGTCCAATTCATATTAACTTCGTATATATACGTTTTCCAAACGGTGATTTTTTTACTTTCTCGTATACGTACGTATATACTGAGTAATATACGTAGTTTAGAGAAAGTTATGTAATGCTGCAGAATATCGATTTGGAGATATCAAAGGAAATACGTTTGGGTCCCCTGATACCGCAAAACGTTTTTTTGCTTTTTTTTTTGTTTTTTTTTGTTTTTTCAAAACCAGTCCGTTCGTCCCTCCGTCCGTCCGTCCGTCCCTCCGTAAGGTAGTGAGCCCTAGATAAGCCGTCACTTGATTTTAATTTTCCAGCGTTATAGTGTAAACGCTGAATATTAATAATATATCAAAATTAATCAAATGAAAGTATACCTGCTGTAATTTGGTAATAATTACGTTTTGTCATGCAATCATATCGCAAGTACTCAACATTTCGACGTCTGACGCGAACAAGCATATGAGGGAAAATATAGGTAGTGGTTTGTACTGTTCTTAGCGCACGATTTCTTGAGCCCTCGCTTCGCTAGTTGCGGGAGGAGTTTGGTTTTTTTCACAAAAGGAATTTTACATCAAATTTGCTGTTTATTTTTCGAAGCAAAATAGTTTCTATTACACGCGGGCAAATATCAGATTTTTGCCTACAACGCTTGTTGCTGTCATTCAACTAATGTTGACAAAGGAGTGGAGGTAGGTATTCCGGAGCTCGTGAAAACGTGCGCGTATAATAGTAGTTTGCGAAGCGAAGTAAACGAATTTCTTAGGGCGAAGATCAGTGTTTTTAATTCTAAAGTTCACTGAGTGTAGTATGTAAACCGCCACGATGGGGTTCTTTTGTTATTTGATGAAATTCCATTGCAAATTAGTTATAAATACGAAGGGGTTATAACTCTGGCGGAGAAGTCGGGTTTTGTATTTTTTAGGTTTCTAAACGCTGTATATTACTTAATTTGTTGCACTGTGTCAAAACAAATTTCAATAATAATTGTCATTTTAAAAATTGAGTCGATGATTTCCGAAATAATAAAAAACACTACAACCTTACTTTGCCCATTTCCTCAGTTATTGAAACGTTCTGCATCCGCCGCCACGGCCTGGGACTTGCTTTGCTCTGCATTTCGACGCGGAGCAGGGGTGGAGGGGGCTGTGCTTAAATTAATGAAAACATTGCAGGCTATAAACTCGAGGAGCTAAAACAGAATGGGCCTTCTTGCCTTTAGTAATAGTTGCGTAATACTATTAATTCCAATTAACCCCGAATTAACACATGTCATCGGTTTTGTAAAACTCATTTCAAATTGTAGAACATATGGTGCAAAAACTAAATATTTTCAAGAAATATCAACTAGATTTGACAGCTTTTCATCAGGTAAATTTTCATCATGTCCCAACAACAAAACGTAATTCACAGAAATTAGCTCCCGAGACATTGTTGTGGAGCCATTGCTGTATTCCAATCTGATATTCCTTCCATAGGGCACAGAGTTCGCAATCGCTGACTACTACCTTAGATTCTGGGAGGCACCCGTGAAAGATCTTCCTTTTGGCCAGGAAGAGGATTTAGTTAATGGAAAGTCTCTGAATAGGTTGCGGTCTGTGTTACTGAGAAGAGCGTAAATATAACAGAGGTGGGATCACGCATCGGAGCAGACGAATTAACGTGACACTATATTTAATAACTTATATGGAGTATTCTGTGGAGAACTAGCTTTGCCAACGACCTACGCATGAAAATGGCAAGACATTGATTTGGAATTGTACTTAAAATAAATGCTAATTTCGTGTGTTTGTTGTTTTGTGTGTATTCGTAGCGTTATAGTTTATTCTGATTTTAGCTATAAAGCTTTTCAACGAAAAAGTAAATCTGTACCAACAACAAAACTAATATTGATACGTTGATAGTACCGAACCTTTAGTAATTATACACTCAAAATTGATTAGTATCTTTACACGATGCCAAATACGAAAATTATAATATGCTTTTTACTTAGCATGCAAAATATTAACCATTCTTTCAATAATTTGTCATTTTGTCATAATTCACATTTCTTTTGCAGCAGCTCCTTTATTGTACTAATTTAAATAAGTGGCAAGAAATGTTTTTTGCACTCTATCTTACAGTTGACTATATGAAGTGCCTGAAAGAGAAAAGAACGCTTGAAATGTTGGTTTATTATATGTCTTCCAGTTGTTCTTTTAAACCTATATTGCTGTTTCGGAATTGGAACCAAGGTTTTTCAGATACTGTAGCGTCAATGCCCTTCATAAAATATCGGTAACAATTTTTTCGATACTGCATCTCAACGTATCTCCCGGGGGATGTACATAGAAAAGAAGGACCGTGGCAAATCGTGCAAGGCGCGTGCCTTTGTCGTCCTCCCCTCCCCCCCCCCCCCCCCCCCGAACCGCCCCCTTCCAACGATCCACTCCCTCACGCGGCGCTCTTTCTCACTCCTGCCGCCCCGCCGCCGCCGCGCCTCCACCTCGACCTCCACCTCGACCTCCACCTCGACCTCCACTCGACCTCCACCTCACTCCACCTCGACCTCGACCTCGACCTCCACTCGACCTCCACCTCCACCTCCACCTCCACCCTCCACCTCCACCTCACTCCACCCCACCCACCTCCACCTCCACCGCCGCCGCCCCGCCCGCCGCCGCCGCCGCCGCCACCACCCCACCACCACCCGTGCCGCCTCGAGATCAATACGGCGGCCGGCCACGCACAGAGCCAGGCGGAGAGATGAAGGGTGGCTCATCTGGAAAGAGCACGGCCCAGCATCCCGACCAACACGCGACCTTTCCGATCAGTGCTCAACTGCGCTCATATTGTAAGACATACTTTCTCAAAATTCTTTCAGGCTAATACAAATTTATTTAGCCAGTCACATTCGTTCTTACTGACTCTCTTTAATACTTACAATCTTTGATTTGTAAGCTTCAGGCAACTTTACAAACAGCATTAGAATTGGATCTCTATTTTCAGTTTTTATAGTTCTAAAATGTTACGTGGCCAAGAGAATTAATAACTCTTAAGAAGAGTATTATTAAGAGTATTGAATGAATCAGTCAAAATGTAATTAATAATAAATACAATCATGTATTATTATTATTATTATTATTATTATTATTATTATTATTATTATTATTATTATTATTATTATAGCAAATTTCGTGTAAACAAGGTAGTAATCGGGGGCGGTAAACTATTCGCATTTGAATTGCCCGCCGCATCGCCTTACGCGTCGCTCGGAACGCGCTCTACCTCCAACTGCTAGAACGATTAGTAAAGAAATCAAAAGTGTATTAGCTATTGTTTAAATTAATAATATTTTACTTTAATTGGTGGAAAAAAAATACAAACTATGTGTAATTGGAGAAGTAGAACTGTTGAAGTTATAGTAAAATGTTTATATAGTTGTAAGTGAATGCGTCCCATAAGACTTGTGATTTAGTGGAATTGACTATATATGTAAGAGTACGTATCTCTTAAATTTGTGTTGTATGAAAGGAGAGACGGTTAGCACTCCCCTAGACAAGGATGGAACACACATACCTGGTTGAGGCACCGCTGACCATTCAGCAACTTGACCACATTTTTTTGTGGTTGGTTGAAACTTTTGGAAAGTTAGTTAAATCTCATGAAAGCTTGAACAGTTAAAATTTCTTTTTTTAAATCAAAAAGAGATTCCAATAAATGACAACATTTTCCCAAAAGAAATTAAATTCTGATATTTCGAGTTTAAAAGTTTTAGTCTAAATGAACTATAAAAATCATAAACTATTTAAAATATGTATGTGAATGTATTGCTTCCAATGAATTATCTTTGTATGAATTTCTTTCTTTTTCAGTTTTGAAAGACTCATTTGATTATGTAGTGTTTTAGATGTGGTTTCAATTGACGAAACAACAATTCCCAGAAGTAAATTCTTTTAGTTTACAGCTTTAATGAGATGTGATTAACATTTTAAATTGTCTATTGTTTTAAGAATATATTAGCTTTTTCTGAAGCTGTATCAAAACAACTCATTTTTATTTTGTTTTAATTGTTTTCTAAAGAAGGAATATGTTTTCTTTTGACTGAATTTATTTTTCAGTTTTAACATTTTAATGAATGTTTTAATTACAATTTATATATTACAATGAATTTTATAAAATATCTATCATTACCAAAATAAAATTATGATAATATAGGTAAAGGCTTCAGCAGTGGCCACAGTTAAGAACATTTCATAGTTCCTTCAAAACTCTTGGGCTTCAGTTCTAAATTTGTTATGTGAAATTCAATGAGTGATAAGCATAAATCTGTCTGAATAGTCCTAAAAACTGACAGTTTTATTGTGTTTTCTATTAATTTCTTTTCAAACCCAATATTGTTCCATTCTCTTGACCATTTGAAATTATAAGACATGCAACATTTTGGTAGCGGCCAGATATTGGATTAAGGAATGGTACATCAATATTCTACCCCATGCACATATTTAATAATAAAGAAGTCTAAGAAAAGTACTTATTTTTTTATTTATTTAAGATCTGAAAACAGTTGTCAGATTTTTATGTCCCTCCAAAAAATTACAACAAACTGTAGGGGAGACGTCCAATCTGTGCACATTCTCTTGAACCCTTGGATATCTATCCTAATTCATATTCCAGCTAGCATTCATAGGTTGCAATGAGCTTTCTTCATAAGATTTGATAATAAAATTCTTGTTCTTGTGCAGAAAAATGTTTTTGCAACAGCAAACTAGCTAAAGATTTTGGCTGATATAACTTATCACACCTGATGTGAAGAAATTGACTTACTACCACAAGAAAATGGATTTTTTAAAATATGTATATTACCCACTCTTCTCAAGAAAACAAGCACTGATAGTGAAACTCTCTTTTTGTCCAAAAGTGTAACAAGGGACAATCTCAGCATTGAGCTTTGGTAAATATATCAAGGGAAACTGGATAAAAAACCAGATTGAGAAAGAGGTCTTTGACCCAAAAGCTGAGATTCTATACTAATTACAGGCATATTAGTATTTTAGAATACTCTACAAGTGATAACTAGCATATTGAATATCATAGTTAATATACAAATTATTTTCCTTTATAAAGCTCAGTATAGTTTCTTATTGTATAGTAACAGTTTTGCATAAGAAAAGATTTTACTTGCCACATAAACTTGTGTATCAATGACACTTCATGACTATGTGTTTTATGATGTGTGGTGTAACTATAGACATCTTTTTTGGTTAAAAATATGTTCCCGCACTTAAACAAGTCAATTTGGACTACAACAACAAAAACAATAAAAAGATATGTAAATTAAAAGGCAGGCTAGCTCATTTAAGGAAGTTTATAGGAATCATAAGGCCTCCAATTCTTATTTTTTAAATTTTGTGCTTGTGGCTACTGCTGACATCATTGGTCAATTCTGGTGTTGTTACCCTAATAAATACTATACTCTAATAAGTTATATTTTTTATAATTGTATTTATATAATTTTTTTGCATTTGATGCCTGCACCTATCCTGTTTGTTCATATATCCATAAAAAAGGAAATATTATTTCTGATTTTGCCGACAAATTGGAATTGTTTATAAACATTTCTTTTTCTCTTTTGCAGGGTTTCTTCACATACCTGTATGGAACGAGCATCCTATTTTTATTGTACGTCTTCTGCTTCCTACTTCAAGAAAGCACATGCTGTGCTGGAAGTGAACCACAGCCAAAGAAAACAAAGAAAGAGAAGCAGAAGCAAGTCAAGAGACAAGAACAAGAAGCCAAAAAACAGAAGAAAGAGAAGAAGAGTAAAGAGAAGCCAAAAGAGAAGGACAAGAAAGCTGCAGAGGCTGCACAGCAGCAGCAGCAACAGCAGCAGACACCTCCACAGCCACCACAGCCCCCACAACCACCTCCAGATCCAGCAGCCCAAAAAGGGAGCATGTTCCAGGTGAGGAAAATTTTTGTTATTTTGTGAAAAGCTGAAATCAGCTTAAACATACTTTGCCCACTTTCATGTAGCCTTAACAAACTTTATGTAATGCTAACATTCATCTTGCGAATACAATGTTTGATGACTTATTAAAATTACAAATAGTCAAAATTTCTGCTAATAATTTATTACTGGAAGCCATGTAGAAAAAAAATAGGGATGCATTTTATGCTCAATTTAGGTAGGAATGGTTCATTATTTCAGCATTGACACATTATTTAAGACTTGTTTTGTCTAGTAAACATCAATTAAAATACTTATTTTGTCTTATAAACTCCAATTAATGGATTTTCAGCACCTAAAATATTTTCTTTCTATGAGTTAACCAAGCATTTAAAATTGCTTTTAATTGGGCAAATTTTGTTTTAACTGATTTTAAGCTTTCACAGGTATTAATAGATTCCACTGATCCTGCTTTCATTTTAGCTTTATTTAAGTTCAGTGTTAGTGTGAAAGCTGCAATGCAGAGGTACTGGGTGTCGTCATTTAACAACAGTAGAAGGTAAATATAAACTAATTTTTTCATTTGTTGTTTACAATTTGTATTGTTCAGCAGTGCAGGATTTACAACCTCAAAGCCTTTTCTAAGACTGATACTTCCTGTTTTAAGATAAACTTCTCTTATCAATAACAAATAATTCTATTGTGTTTATAATTTTTTTAATGAATGATAATTTTCTTTTACACCCATTAAACCTATTTCATTTGTATTGAAACATGAATTTTTTTCTAATTTTAAAAAGTTACAATTCTTGATTTTTTTCTTTAATTCTGTTCTGCTCTGGGTAAAGTGAATGAAACTCTCTCACTCATCACTTCACAGTTTTAAACTTGGAAAATCTTTAAACATGAAAGAAGGAAAAAATATTGTGGGAATCCTCAAATTGGTATGCTTACTCCCAAGCGGTTGCTTCCTGAGCATGTTGGTAAATCCAGAACTGCAGTTATTCAAATTATGTTTTTGTGATATAGAGCTTTGTGTTCTGCTGACTGTGCTTTTTCTTCTTGGCATTATATTTGTCACCATTTTTAATTTGTAGAATATTTGTTAGCATAGCATGATAGAAATAATTATGCTTTGAATATAATTTTCCAGTTCTGTTCCCACAGTTAAGATGCAGACAACAATCCAGGAACAGAATCTGAACATAGTTCTCGTGCATTATACCTATCTGTATTGTTGGTTATGGATACTCCTGAGTGGTGATTAATGTGAACTCTAATTTTTTGGTTCATTATTAATCATGTACATGTACATTCTGAATTTATATCAAACATCTAAGAACCAGGTTCCTATTCCCTGTCAGTATTCTTAGGAACCCACTTGCAGGTTTTTGATGGTTTTTATTTTACATTGATTTATTTTTTGTTGTTGATATCTTTTTTGAGTTTATGCCATTGTGCAGAGAGAGGTGTATCCTCGTAAGATGAAGGATTTGGCCAAACTGCGACAACAACTGGAACAGAGCGGCGTTTCACTAGTGTCTGGCCAGGTGAGTGGCACGGCAGAGCGTGCTTGAGTTGCCTGTAGTGCCACCACGGCCAACATGCCTTATCTTCAAACTTCTATCACTTTTCTGGCTCCTGCAGCAAATAGAGGTGCAAGTGTCTTTTCTTTGTAATAATCAGAGTCTGGATATTTAGTAAGATTGTTTTGTCTTAAAATATGCAGGGAAGAATGGTCTTTAGGTAAATTTAAATAGCCTTCCGAATACAAACCTCAAATAAAGTATAGTATTTAACTTTGGCTATTTGTTATTTATTTTATTATCTTTTTTCAAAACTTTGGATGTTTAATGTTAGATTTATGAGACAATATTGTTTTTAATAATTAGCTATCGTTATCCACAAACCATTGTTGTAACCTTCAGTTTGTCAATGTTGAAAAAGTGTATTTCCACATCCTTGAGGGAGGAGTCTGGGGAAGAAACACAGAATATGAAGTAAGAGGACTCCATTTGTATTTTTTCATATTACACATTCAAGAAATACTTTTGATTATAATGAATATTTTAGGATAGAAACACATTTCACTAACACCATCTGTTCAAATTTTTGCCCATCTTGTGAGAAATTATCTGATGGTCAAATTTGTCTTCACCATTTGGTAGGGTTTGTTCACATGCTGTAAAATACAGTATCATTCTGTTTTCTTTGCTCTGCCCCATTGTCCTGAAAATCTGTCAGGATGCTGAAATGTTCCATTTTATGCTTAGCCCAGTTTATCAGTATTGGGGTCCACAATCAAAAACATTATTGTTTTCTAGTTTATCGCCTCACATTTTTCAATAAACTTCACCTTTTATGGCTTTAGCCCTTGGTTTTACTGCAGTATTCACACAGTCCAACTTGTAAAGAATTCAATTTTCTTTAAAATGATTTATTCTTCGCTATTTTATCATTGAATAATCAAAAGTTATAGAATTTAAAGTATTTGACTGTTTCAATTTCAATTTCTTTGCCTGGCCTGATCACAGGAACAAAGTTTGAGCTCATGATAACACTTTTTTCTGTACACTCTAACAGAAAAGAACAAGTTAGATTTCAAAGACATGAACCTTGTTGACCAGTGTTATAAAAAAAATATAAAGTTTCTAAACATACAACATGGTTTCTAAACATGGGTCTTTTCTGATTTTGCATTATCAGGAGAAGAATTAGGTGTATTTTTTAATATAAATGTGCCCGACTATTAGGCCTAGTTGAGCTGCAACAAGGGGTCATGAAGTTGCAAGGCATTTAATAAGTTTGAGTAATTTTAAAATAAAAAGCAAACTGTTTCATAACATACATAAGACACATTTTAATTTAACTGTTAATACTTTTAAAAGTGCATTAAAACTACTCTGTGATCATTTTCTTGCAGTTAGACATTCATATAATAACTGGATTTTATGCTTCAAGAGTTGAAAACATATTAAGAGAAAAATACACTTTGCTAAAAGATCCAGGCTCTGATATTAGTGCATTTCATGTGTATTACAACTGGTAGTATCATTGAGGAGTGACAACATATTGATAAATTTTAAAATTAAATTCTTACTTTTTTCCTTTATTCATTTCTTTAGAAACACATTACTTGAAAGTGGATTTTTTTGTGGTCAAAAGTGTGAATTTATAAAAACTAATGCTTGCTCTCTAAACAATACAACATGATTTCAAAAAGCAATATTTCTGTGTAATAACTTGCTGTCTTTGTTCAGTGTGCACTATATTGCTTTAGTTGCTGTTTCTTTCTATATTTTCAGCTGTGTGATGCCTGCTTATATTGCTTGTTACATTGTGTGGTAGTTATTTGTAAACAACAAAAGTTGATTTATCTTGATATTTTGTGTATATAAATGCAAAACGTATTGGATTTGTGTGCAGAAGAAAGGTAATGTCTTAGAACCCTAGAACAATGAACAAGTAGGCTATTTTTATTTTAGTAATATTCTAATTGTTATCAAAAATATCTTTCACTTTAAAGGATAAATTATTTAAAATTCATGAATGTTGTTTTGATTTTAAAAAACAATTATTTTGTCTCTCAGGCTTTTTAAAGCCCCTTTGTAGTATTCTTTGTAAAGAGTAGTTCAATTATGTAGTAATTCGTTTCTGTTTGGTGTAGCACAGGTGTTTTGAAAGTATTTTTTTGTTTGATCAGAATGAAATATTTTGAATAATGAAATAAAACAATAAATTATCAAATTCAGTAATCTTAAAGAAATATTTATATTATTCTTGATGATAAGAGAAAAAATAAGTACACAAAATAATAAAATTAATATATTTTGGTACACTATAATTTGTTTTCCAATTAAATGAATAAAGCAAAAATGTCTAGTTAAATTACAAATGCTACATATTCTTCATTGCATGCATAAAATTAAATGCATGCAGAGAAGTTAATAAATTATCTTTCTTACTAGGGAGTGCTTCGTAATCTTCGAAGTTCTAAGGATGTTAATTTGAATGATGGATCTGATAGTCCTTCCCAAGAGAAACTGACAGGATCAGGAGATAGATCTGATGATGTGCAATTGGAAGCTGGTCGACCACTTCGCAAGCGAAAAACATCACAAAATGTTCACAGTCATGGAAGTTTCTTCCTCCGTGTTGGTGCAATTGGTGCGTACCATTTTAATGTATCAAATACTTGCAACTAGTTTGTTCAATTACTGTGGCTAAAGTTTCAGTAGTACTGATTATAAATGTACTGTAATGTAAATGTAATGTAAATTCTTTCTTATTTTTTAAGAAATATAATATTATAATCAGTACTAGTGAAACTTAAATAGTAAGTTCAATGAAAGTACTTGTACAATGCTGTACACTGTTTAGATCATATTTCTTGTCCTGGAATTTGAAAATTTATATTACTCCATTCAAATACACATCTCTATTTCCACCCATCTCTACTTTACAGTCATCTTTGACTTTATAATATACAAGAATAATAATCAAACAAACTCTTCATGACATAATCATATATTTAGAAATCCTTAATTATTTTCATGTATTTTTCCAGTGGCTTCCTGTATTATATTGTTTCTATGGTAAAATTGTAGTACTGGTTGTGAACTTACAGGGTGATGACACGTGTTCATTCATCACATCTTCAATTTCTCTGAATGATTTTTCTTTCATAGCATTTGGATTGGGTACAATGATCTACAATGGACTTGAATGTGGAGCATTTTTTGAAATACCATTTGATTCTCCATGTTACCAAATTCTACGAGGAATAAATCCTGTTCTACAAATGATTTTTACATTCATGCAGATGTACTTCATATTTATGAATTCAAGGGTGAGTAAAGGCCAATAGAGTTGTTATTCAGTTATAAACATTCTAATGGTCTTTTGACAGCCACAATCCTCTGAGATCAAATTTTATTTTATTTTTGATCATTGAAAAGTTCTATATGGATTTCAGCATTTTGAATGGTGCAAAATTAGATCTTAAGGTAGAATAAAATGTATGTAGTATATTTGTATTACAACTCTAAAGTAACTCTATCTGAGTGAATGGCAGCTCATCTATCTATAAGAGGGACAATGATAGAACAAATCAATCTACAAATAATTTACAAGGACAATTTAATTGTATTTAAATTGCTTTTAAATAAGGAGTAAGAACAAAAGAGCATTCTGATTACATAAATTCTATCTTTTGAATAAACATCCTTGTAATTCATAATTTCTCATTTGATCCATTATGAGAGATTTGAGGATTATTATAATGCTGTTACAAAAAATAATTAATAACATGGAAATATCTAATAAAAGTAGTTTTAAAATTTTCATTTTATTGTGTTCTCTAGTTTGTTCACAGCAGGAAAGGAAGACCTTTTAAAGCTAGTTTTCTAATTTAACTTAGTTGTTTTTTTTAAAGTAGGTTTCATTTTACAGACACATTTCTTATTTATTTGTAACTTAAGTAGGCCATTTCACTTCTATTACTTTTTATAATGTAATATATTTACCACTTCAAAATATTTCATTGATTAACAAGTTCATGCACATTTTAGGTGCCCATTTGGAATAGCACATATTTTAACACATCAATTAAAGTTTCTCTTTTTTCTTTAATTTCATTTTCTTCAATTGAAATAGTTCTACATACTTCTATGTTTTCTTTAGAAAGAAAATAACTTTGCTAAACTCAGTTTGTTGAATTTGATCATCATAGTCAGGGTTTTGGCTGTCAGCAGTGATTTTTCATTTACTATGACCTTTTTTAGGGAACTTTATGTTGTTGCTATTTACAGTTAAACATCCACCGCTTCAAAGTGCTAGCGCGCTTTGGACTGATGCATGTCGTAGCTACCAACTTGTGTGTATGGATTCGTACATTGGTGTTGGAAAGTCTCAAAGAAATTACAGCTCTTCAAAATACAACATTGTCTAGCTTTGAGGATAACAGTTCTGGTTAGTATCCAGGAGAAATGAAGTTGATAGCAAGTTAATTCTGTAAACTTCTAATAGATGCAGTATTGTAATGTATTGAACACTACTGAAGTATGTTACTGGAGGTGTAAGAGGACTTCAGATATATATAGTTTTGTATGTGAATCTAATATAATACTCATTTGTTTGTAACGAAACTAAAAAATATTTGCAACAAGATTAGAAATTATCTCATTTGATTATATAACTGAGGGAATGTAACATGTGTGATATAAGTATCAGTGTCTGCTATTCAATTTTTCCAATCAGTCAATTTCTCTTGTGCATGTTTTTTATAAATATTTCAAAACTTTTCCATAAAAGTCAATTTAAGTACCTTGATATTTGTTTCTTAATTGAATCAAAGGAGGTAAGTAGTACATCTATTTCATTTTTACAATGTATGTTCTCATTTACTTCGTATTAAAAAGTTAAGTTTAAATGATTGTTGTCTTTGAAAAAATTAAATTGGATTCCTCCAGTTAACACTTCTTGGATAATTGCAGTATTGATATAGTTTAAGTAAGGTAAAAATTATTTCTTTAGGCTTTTAAAATTGCTTTTTCAAATAACAGAGCACAAAGCATGTTGCTAAGCTTTTGTGAAGTAAGTTAGCATGTTTGCTGTACAGGCCAACTATTGCACGCTCTTGTTACCCATTTCTGAAAATGTTCCTCAACCTTTTACCATTGCAAGTATGTCCCTCTGTCTGGCTCGGCAGAAAAGCTGCGCGACTCAGGCCTGATTGATGCTGGAACCACAACTACGACCACGGAAGTGACCACTGTGTGGGGCATGGCACGTGCTGCCACTAAGGCAGCAGCCTGGCTCACGTCCTCCACCCTGCGGACCACAATGACCACTCTGGAGACCACCTTAAGCACCACCCTCCCAACCACAACACCCACAACAACAACCACCACCACCACTACCACAACCCCCACAACCACCACTAGCCCTACCACAACTACATTGCCAACAACAACATCTACTACCACATTACCCACAACTACCACTACAATTCCTACTACCATTTCCTCAGCACTCCCTTCTACAAGTACCAGTGCAAGCACTCTCTCTCCGCTACCCTTTCCACATCTTTATGATGTTCCAGAAATAACAAGGGGATATGAAGGTGAGACTGTACTGTGTTTGCTTTTCTACACACAGTACAGGCAGCTTGGAAACAGAAGAACTGCCAAGGAATAATTAAAAGAAAAGCTTCATTGCATCATTGCATTGAATGGAATTACTAACAAAGCATTTATAACAAGTAATATTTTGTACCTCCTCAATAATTCAAAGACCTTTTAATTCTGCATTTGCTAGGGATATAATTATGTTATGATGCAAAATTTTTATTAATTTATATTCTTTAAAAGCTCTAAATAAAATTGATTTAAATAATGCTTGTTGCCAGACCTCTTCCCATCCTCTTACCTTTCATTTCAGCTTTTCTCCTGCAGTGAGCTAATGTGTTTCCAGTGCTTCATAGTGTTAACACCGTCACTAATTCAAATCACCACTATACCTTATCTATCTTTTTTATTATTTATTACGACATAAACACAAATCCAAAATTCCTTAATATCCTTGTTTCCTTAATAAATAGCAATTATTAATAGTAAATAACACCATTTACAATAAAGAATAATATGTAAATAGTTACTTTTGTTATTATTTCAATATATATTTTGTGTAAGTGGTATAATTATTTTGTAAAAGGGTGTGCTTTTTAATATCAGTTTCATATATTTTTAAATGTTTTAAATATAATTTATTTTACTAATTTTAGTATCCTTGTGAGCTCAGGCTGTTTACAACTGCCTGTACTATGTCATTTATTCCTGCAAAATGCTAATAGAATCATAAAATGAATATTAAAATGACATTAATAATTCCAGTTACAAATAAATTATTTTTATTTATTCAGCTTTCAACAGTTCATTTCCTTTGGGACAATTTGGGGATCCTCTTCCTCCAGCTGCATTTTTGAGCTCCTTCAATGGCACAACAACTTCACCAACTACTACCCTGGAAGACTGTGGACGAATCAATATTATGGGAACTATAGTGCAGGACTCTGCTCCATATCTCTTTCCTTTCATTATTGAATACAGTTTCATTGGTGCAGCTGTTATTTATGTAATGTGGAGACACATTGGCAGAAACCCCAGGTGAGTCATACAAATTTAAATTTCCTAATCTCTCTATTTTAGGAGTACCTAACACACAAATTATGCTTAACAGAAACTAATTTTAAGAGGGTAAACTTTAGTTTCTTTAAACATTTATTAATATTCAATAAAAATATATTAAAATAAAAAGTGAAAAAACCCACTGTGATATTGTATTTCCTTGTTTTGTAATCACATAATTATTGTTGGCAACTTCTTTTATCTAGCTATTATTGTTTACATTCATAAATTGTGTGCCATAAATTGCAAACATTTTGGAAAGCAAAGGCTTAATATTAAGTGCTTAGCATTTAATGTTTGGTATTGATTTTTAAATCCTCAGATCATATTGAGAGTAGTGAAGGATCATTTGAAAGTTTGAAGTTCAGGTTAATCTTTATACTTCAATTTTTCATTTAATTCAAGATTCAATAAAAATATTTATTCTTTAAAATGTTGTGGTTTGTTCCATGATGTATTGTGATGTGTTTTGTGTATTTGATTAGTATGTTGTGGTTTGTTTAATTTTTTACAGAAAATTCGCCTTGGCAAGCCAATTGGTTCACCTTGTTCACCTTGCATAGGCAATTAAATTAGTAGTTCAATTAGTATAAAGTTAATTATAGTAGTTATTAATTAAATAGTAGTGAAATAATGTGTTTCATGACCATTAATAATAAACAGATGTTCATGGGTAAGGCTGAGGATGAAAAGAAAAGAAACATTATTTTTATTGGCTATTCCTGAATTTTATAATTCAATCTTGAAAGCTATGAATACAACACATATTCTACTAATAATATCTTTGAAACAATAAAATCAATAAAACTTTAATCAGTTTCACAGTTCTGACTTTCTTAATAAAGTGTTTTTAAGGCCATTATGTGCAGATGCCTCTCATTCATAAATTCTTCTGTTGCTTGATTGAATAATTCTTTCTAAAAAGTTAATTCATTTTCATCTAATTAAGAATCTCTTATTTGTCTTTCTATAGGTATGTGACTGAAGAAGACTTGGAACATCGACTAGAAGTCATGTTGTCGAGGCGGGCTGTAGCTATGGCACAAGCACAACAACATGGACGTGTTGACTGTGTGGGAGCAAGCAAGGGACTCTTCTTTGGCTTGTTATTATTGGTCGGCTCTCTCATATGTCTGATTTTATTCTTTGTTCTCATCACCCAAGCTACACCTTTCAAAATTATAGCAATATATCTTGCTGATGTTTCCCATTGTATTCTTATGGCTCTCAGCATTGTTGCTATAATTATAGGTTTCATAAGGTTTGTTATTGTAACTAATTGTTTTTGAAATTTTTCATTCAAAAGAAATGAAAAAAATTGCTTATAAACTCATGTTCTTTCTTTTCAGAGTCCAGAGCTTAAAGTTTAGAGCTGAAGAGCAAAGTGATCTAAATGATATTTTACTACGCGTTTCAGCATTTGGTCTCTTTGTATATGCTGTGTTTTGTGTCATTGCTGGATCTCTGGAAGCATTTACACAAATACCTAATCTCTTGGTCATGATCACTGGATTACTTTCTGTTTTTCAAGTGAGTAGAATAGATTTAAATTATGAATAAAATTTTACTGTGCAAAAATATTCTATATACTCGTTTCTTCAAATAGGTTGTTCTACAACTTCTTTTCATTGCTGATGTGGCTCGTCGTCGTGTACACCTACCAGAACATGATCGCAGCAAACCAGGGCGCCAAATTGTCACTTTCTTACTCATTTGCAACGTCACCATGTGGGTTATTTATACCTTTGAGGTTCAAAAAGTTTCTGCTAATCCTGTTCAGGTAAGCAATTTACATCTAAATGTCTGTATTTTGTGAAAGATTAAACAACATTTTGTGATGCAGTGTATAAACAAATTTAATATTTAGTCTACTGAACATGTGTTTGAAGTATTACAATATTGTAACATGATGTCTTAACATACCTTGTTTCGCTTTTCAAACAGCTGAAATTTTATGGAGTATTACCTTGGGCTATTGTGCAACGGGTCACATTGCCACTTTGTATCTTCCATCGATTCCAATCGGCAGTGACACTTGCAGAAATCTGGAAAACTAGCTACAAAGCTCGCTTAGAGTGAAATTCTTAATATCACCAGCATTGATACTTTTGAGGGATATCAAGGATGAAGATGTCCCTGAGTATATGCAAATGCATAAATATTGTTTCTGAAAGTAGTCAAGTGACACATCTTATAACTGTGCCAAAGAAACAGCAATGGTTGTTGCCATGAATGACAGACTAGTTATTTAAAAGCTGGTTTTTACCTCTTCAAAGAAATAAGGATTGCAAAAGTAAAAAGAACAAAAAGCTGAAGCAGTCAAAGGACCAAATTTTCATCAATTTCTATCAGTTAACTGAACAGAACTTTTAGTATTAACAGTTTTAGAACAAGAATTGTAAATAAGTCATGAAACACATGGCAGAAACCTACTGGTTCTTCATCTGTTTCTTTAATTGTACTTATTCCCAGTAACATTATGTCGAGCACGGGTTGGACTTAATCAGTAGGTTTGTAAGTTTTTAATTTAAAATATAATATTATATAATAAAAATTCTTTTTTCTAAACAAACAACTTCTGTACAAATGCAGGAACTGAGACTTGGAACAGATGCTGATTGGTTAATGCACTAAAAATAGTTTACATTAACTTATTTATATGTACAAGTGTGCACGTTTAGCCTGCATACTGTACGCATTAGTTTTAAATGTTCAAGAGAATTGCTCAAATTTATGTTATTTGGGTGCTCAAATTCTGGCCTGAGAATTTGACAAATGAAATGTAACTGCCCCAAATCTCATTCTGTAGTAGGTACTCTTGTCATTGTTTATATCTATTGACACTAACAGGCTAGATGGTAACAATTATGAAAGTAAAACAATTTTCTTTTATAGTCAATTTTAGACTGCAAGCAGAAATTAAAGCATTTTGTATGGTATTTTATCATTTTACAACAATGATCTATAAAATTAAGAACACCATGACCTCATACTTGTAAGAAATGCCAGATACCAAGATAAAGAGTGATAGTGACAAATGGGCAACTTTACATGAAATATACAGATACTTTCCAGTGAACAGTGATGCTCAGACAATTTCATAAACAATGTCCCATACCACTACGATAACTAAAATTCACGAATGGTACCATTACTTCTCAGTTTTAACTACTCGTAGATCATGGTGCTGTTTAAATGAACTCAGTGAAGTGTGAATTGGAAATACAGAAGCTCAGCAAGAGCTAAAAATGAGGGTTCATGACAGGCTTCTCATCAAATGCACTTTTAGAACTCTCTGCTCAGAGACTTCCCTGCCTTTTCCCTAGGGAGTTCATTTTCTTTGTGAGAAGTATCCATACTAATGTGTCTGTCTACCAATGAAATACTGATTCTATGTACGTGAAGAATGGTTAGTTTCTGTTTCATTAAGTAGTAAATGTTGAACAAACCTCTAGTTTTTGACATATGTATTAATTTATTCATATCACGTAATGCTTAAAACTTTGACTCCTCTACATCCTGCAAGAAGCTGTCGACTGTATAATTGTGTAGGTTTTTCTTTTTAATGAATGGTAGCTTGATGTGTTTTGGCTGAATGCCCATTTTGGTGCTGAAATTACACATTGCTACCCTGAATATAAAAGTTGCACAAAGCTTATTACAACAACAATTACAATTATTAAAACAATAGTTAAATAGTTTTTTTAAATGATATTTGTCAAAAGTGGAAAACGCCATAAATACCTTTTCTATGTTTAGTTAGAACCTGAATGTGGAGGAAAAAGAGAAAAAATATAAACATCGAAACACTTAGAGACAATGATAAGAAAAATATTTCTTAATGTCTGTTGTGTGTATAACTGTTGCAAACTAGGTCATTATGTGATGTAGTGGTGATGTTCTGTAATCACATTCAAGGAAATATACACATATATCATTATTAATATTGATTGATGCATTGTGCTCTGTTATATACAGGGAGCATTAGGTGTGTTTTAATCTCTCCAGTGTCCAATTTTTTGATGTAATGTGGCATTATATGAGCAGAAATAACTATTTCTAACATAAAACACTTGGTAAATAATGTATAATGTAATTTTTGTTGAAATTATTGAGTTTATTTTCTTGTATTCACATGCAAAATCAAGTAGTCTTTTTAACATTTTATATTAAAAGAAAGTATATAACTAGAATTTCAACTAAATAATGTATAAAAGATGTATATCACATTTGTATGGACCATCAAATTATTGAAATTAATGATTCACAAGTGTTCAATTATTTCAGATCTGTTTGCTTAAGTTAGATGATAAGATAGTACAAATCTATATAGATAATGTGCATTCATATTTTTTTGACTCTTAAGAGAAACATGTGTGTGTTCTAAAAAGCTGCTTGTACATTTATGCAGATTTGTCGTGATTTTTGAGATTTATGAATTAGAAAAATTATTACTAATTACAGAACTCTTCTTCAAACAGTACTTATTAATACAAATTGTTCCATGTACTTGGTTTCTAAGTAAGCATATTTTATCTGAGAGACATACATTTTTGTGACATTTTCATGTATAAGAAAGAAGACCAACATGCTTTTTGAAAATTTACAATGCATAATGCTTTCTATTAGTTTGAACATTTTCACTGCCGTACTAATACGTGTACATCTAAACCAGATGACTTAATGATACTGTAATTTACATTAAGAACTGTTCTATACCTATAGAGTAGCTGAAAGCCTTCAAAATGGCAAACTTGGAGCTGGAAATTTTAATTTTGTGAGTGGAAAATAATATTGCTCACTTAAAAGATGATGTTCATAATATTTTCTTCAAAATTGCATAAAAGATTGTATAAAGGTAAACTATTTGGATACCAAGCATATTTTGAAAGGACATTATGGGGTTAGACTGAGAGGCAAAAAAATATCTCAAAGCAGAGTAGAATTCTGTGGAAGTATGCCATCAAATGCTTTGTGTAAATCATTCCAAACTATTTATCTGTAATCAGTGGGTAATGGCAAATTAGGCACTTAATACAACAATTTCATTGCCTAAAAAATTCAGGTTGTGTAATTTTGTATTTTCCCTCCATTGACAAACTAGTGCTAGATTCAGTGAAGAAAAATATTATATTTGTTGTACTTTCTTCCCTTGGAAAAAACACCTTGATGTGAAAATTAAATACCTTGTAATGTGTATGTGAATTGTTGTTTCATTGTATGAGTGTATACAGTATTAGAAGAATTCAAAGAACTGGAAAAGCAACAGTACATTATCATTTTATCACTTGGTAATTCTTCAATTTTAACAGATCATCCCTATGATGCCAGTTTTACTCAACTATTCAGATCATACAATTGTTTTCTACATTTTATAAAATGATGGCTATTTTCTGCAAAACTTCCAGTTTCTTTGATAATTTTGTACAAAAATATGAGTTAGTATCACTCTGTAAACATAAAATATTGTATATGTAATATAATAAACTATATGATCATTAGATGTGCTAAATGTGAGATAGTTAATTTTCATTAATACCTATTATGTCTTTAATCAGATAAATATTGATTCATCAATGATAGCTTGAAAAATAAGAGGATGAAAGTAACTAATGGTGCTACAGAATAGCACAGACTTTCCTGTCAAGTTGGTTTCATCTCTTAAGTCTAGGCCATCTTTTCGGCTTTGCCCCACCATCTTCTCAGTTGCCAACTATTGATGCATAAAGACATTTTTTCATTGTTTGCAATTTCAAGTTTCTTCCATGCACATTTTCAGGGTTTGGAGGCTGTATTCAGAAAATGTTGAGCATTACTGAAACTGCTCAGTTTGAAGCTTATTTTCACCCAAAACTTTTTTCAGTTTTCAAGAAATTTCGTAAGAATTTATCTGAAAGAATTGAATTCACAAATGTGATAATGTTCAAGAAATGCTTTATGTAAATTGTAATGGGTAAAAGATATTTTAAAGAAATAGTCGTATAACCTTTGCAAAAACAAAATACATAAAGTGGAAGTTATATTGAGTTATTCAGTGCATTTAGCTTCCTTATACTTCACTAAAGCATTCTTTATGCTATATAAAAGAAAGTCCAAAAATTTGGAGCCTGTTTTGAGAAAATTATGAAAATATTTTTGATGTTTAATGTAAAGTATCCCAAAAAATCAAAATGTCATTGCTAACAGGTAAGGCATCGAGATTCTTTTAACTGATCAGGGAATATCAGTTTTGGAGAAAATTGGCTGAACAGTATAAGCACTAGCATTGACCACACACATGGATAAACGGACAGATGGGCGCTTTGCCGTAAATCAACTTTTCAATACAAAGGACCCACAAAACTTGGATTCTGACCACACAAAATGTTACAGGAAGTAATTTAATATATATAGGAACAAGATTTATTCACTTTTTTATCACCAGGACCAGACAATGAAGATTTTTTTTAGTTTAACATTCGTTGTTTTTTTTAAAATTTTTTTTATGCATTGATCACTATACTTTTTCTTCTTACATAGGACGAGAAAGTAAAAAAATAATGTGAGAAGGAAATCTATAAATCTTAATCAAATTTCCAATTGATCTGGAAATATTAATTTTTGGAAATAATACTGACAATTGTTTAGGCTCTGGTATTGATCACCGATGGACAGATGGACATTTTGCCAAAAACAATTTTTAATATCAAAGAATCACAAAATGTGGATTCTGAATATCTCACTCTTGTGACTGTGACTTATTAAATATTCAGTTGACTGCCAACTGCTCCAATTACTTTTGTGAACTAACCTTTTCTCAACAAAATTAGTAGGTCAAGGAGAAAAAATTTATTATTTTCCCCAAGTTTTAATTTTAGCCTGAGAGCTATAATTATGGTGAGGAGAAAATAATTTCTCTCATGATGTGTATATGCTTTTTTTTCCCCTAGACCATAATTTTGATAAAATATATTTAAAATACTGAGCTATTGAATTTAAAATTCTTGGTACTGAACATAAACGAGTGTTGGCTCATAAGAAAATTGTCAATAAACAACTATACGTTGATGTAGGCTGAGACTGAATATAGATGTGTCTCTTGAGACTGCTATTGGAAATTTAATGCCAAAAATATTTGGGTCAGTCCATAAAATAACATAACACAAATTTGGAGTATTTTCAATACCCCCTCTTCCCCCGTAACGAAACATAATGCATGTTTGCCTCCCCTCACGTAAATAAATATGTAATGCTTGTGAAATAAATTACAGCTCAGTAAAAACAATTTGCACATGTTTTACTAGAGTTGTATATTAAAATTAATCATTAATGTAGAATTTAGTTGCATCTAACAATTAGGTGGGGGCAAGTTCTGATTGAAGGAAGGATGAATAGGCAAGAAAATGTTTGATCTCAAGACATTGTGGATGACGCATGAGCGAGAGTCTACTGCAACAACTGAAATGGATTCTAGAATTAACTACATGTCAGTTTTGAATATTTTTTTTTCATAATCTTAAGGATTCAATAAAAGAACGTCAGATGTAAATTATTACAAAAATATTTATATTTATTGTATTAATTTACATCAAATAACATTAATTTACATTTTTAAAACCAATTAATAAGTTAATATTTTAATGTTTTAGTACATGATACAAAAGGGGAATTATTTCAGGAAATGTTGAAAAGGCCAAAACATAAATACTTATGTTACGTACCACTGAATTAGTGTGTAAAGCAGCATAGGGCTGCCTCAACCCTCCCCTCCCGCATCTTTAGCATTATGTAATTTATGTAATGTACAACCCCTTAAAATGATTTATGATGCAGCTTGTAACAAATTCAAAGACTGATGTAAAGATAAAGACCTATTGAATATAAGTGAGAATGTCATTCTGGTGTGTTTCAGTGAGGAAGGAAAGAAGTAGAAATCCTCCACATTGTGGGCTGTGTATTTGATGATAAACAACATGTGAAAATTAATGAATATATGGATATTAGTAAGTAAATGAAGGTTCTTTCTCTTCTGAAAAGAAATGTTAATAGAAAAATCAGTTCAGAACAAAACTAATATTGCTAACCAACTTGTGCAAGTCAAATAATGTAATTGAAATAATAAGCAATGATGTTACTATATCACCAAATTTGATGCCAAATATAAATTTTAAAAAAATGTAAAAATATTAATAATAGTAATTTATGATTGTTGAGTTGAATTGATATTTTTATTTCACATTGTGTTCAAATATATAAATTTTTACTCATGTGTTTCATTTGTTTTCATTGTAATGTAAACAAAGGAGACAACATTGTCTCCCTAGTGAAGCAACTGCTTCAATTAAGTCTCTCATTTCCTGACAATAAAATCAACTTTTTCTCTTGGTCATGGAAAAAAGTTATTTATTACAACAGACTCCTTGTTCTCTGCTAATTTATTACAAGAAACCCCCCTTACATTTAATATATCAATATATGTTATTCCATTGCTCAAGGGCACATTGACATCATATATCCAATTCACTACTTATTTGTAAATCTGAGAACCGTTTTGGTCAAAGTCCACTGTCAACTCCACTACTCAAATTGTTCTGATTGTTTATCAACAACAGTCTATCAAAAGCGTCAAGTTGCTTGATGGGGAGAATTTTTAATTGGTGATTCTGAGAGCGTCAGTAGTAAAGGCCATTATTCCCGTAGAACAAGTGTAGTACATGTTTATCGCCGGATGAGGAGGAGGCGGTGATCTTCCCCCGCTGGATGGCGAGATCTGGCGCCGACCTACCTGTCGACCTTCGAGGTTACTCCCCAACCAGGCATCTCCCACCAGCGGGGCACCGCCCCAACCCAGCTCTGAGCTACCGGTTTCTCGTCGTGTGTTGAAGTGTAGTGCCTGAAAGGGAAACTGTGTGTAAAGGGTAGGACAAGGAGAGAGAGGAAGGTAAGATCGCGCGCGGTCCACGGCCTGTTTTTTTAATGTACTACTCCGGCATTCGCCTGGTGATCGGAGAAACCACGGAAAACTATCTAATAGATCAGCTAGAATTCTCCTCCAGACAGCGACTGAATTTGACCTAGCTTTCAAGCTAGTATCGTAAATCCTCCCACCGTCGAGACACGAACCTGAGGACCTCCGGTCAGACGCACTACAGAGACATCAGTTGATGTCTTGCGCCACCTCTCTTGGTCGAAAGGGAACGTAAAGAATGAGTCCGTTGCACTACACATAGGATCACGAATATCCTATTTTTACGGTATCAGGGTCCTTGAAAACTACATTTTCTGCCGAGAAAACGGCCCTTTTCGTTGGAACATTACATAATTACGCTTGGAGAAACCCAAGCACTGTTGTTCTCTTACCGTCACTGTGGGTGGCGTCTCTATGGTCTGAAGTGCTCCTCTCATGGGCGTTTTCACAAGTGTGTCACGTCCGAGCGTGCGAGGGCCAACCACTACGCACCTAGCGTCCTGGAAATATTGACCCTTCCCTCGAAGGGAAGAAGGCCATCTTGGCGGAAATAGCAGCCTACTCGAGACTGCTTCGACGATAATCGAAGTCTTGGGGGGAAAAGGATGTAAGTACCATTTATGTTAAATTTACGTTTTACCAGAAAAATGGTGAATGAATCAAGACCTTTAACATAAGACTCAATGCCCTGAGGCATTTCTTCACACAAATGGCTAACAGGCAATGAAGTTCAAGCTAAGCTTTATTTTTGGTATTGTCTTTTGTTATAAATTACGAAGAGTACTTCAAATCGAGATGGATATTTTGACGTGAAAAAATTATTAAAAGCTATACAAAAATATGAAATGTCTAAAGATCACATATGTAATTCAGTGAATTTTAAAAGCTTGAAAAAAATTAAATCCTATTTCTGAATTATTGTCAGTCACACAAAATCGCATCTCATTTTCAGAATCTGATTATTTTGAAATCACGTCTGCGCATGTTTCATGGAAATACTGCTTTGGAATATAATTTAGATTTAGATTTATTCAGTCAAAAAAAACCAACAAAAGAACAAAAAAAAACAAAAAAAAAAAAAACAACAACTATGTGACGTTTTCTTGAATTCACGCACATTTTCTTGAATTCCAGAATCCCTTCCCGTCATTTTAATTATAAATAGTTGAAAGATGAGTAAAAGTTTAACATAAATAAAAATAAATTTTAAAAATCGCTAGATTAGCAATATTTTAAAAATATTCACTTTCGTTTCAGAATTATAGAAAACTTATTTGCATCGGTACATGAATTGCAAGTATGATTTCAGCATTGCTAACAAAATAGCAACTCGCCCTCACCTCAACTCTTACCATTACAAGCAAACGGAGAGTTCCACAGGAGTTCCACTGGAATTCAACAGGAGTTCAACAGGAGTTCAACAGGAGTTCAACAGGAGTTCAACAGGAGTTCAACAGGAGTTCCACAGGAGTTCGCGGTATTCGCCTCTGTTCAGTAATCTGTTTTGCCTACCCCGAGTATTTGTTCAAGGACCCCCACTCTCGCTTAAGCTGAAGGCCATATCACGATTTGAAATACAATATACGTAACGAAATGACAAATGTGACTTACAAGGAACCGTTGAAGAGGCTCATGTCGAAATCAATCTGATTTTTTTCTATTGAAAAATATTCACTATTTATATGTATTGGGGAAAAATTGGCTATCGTCCTGTACTGGAAGTTACT